GTGTTACGCAAGGACAGTGAGTATGTCCAGAGACAACACACACAGGCACTGCAGAGTTCAGATAAAACCACTCAGTTCAAATATTTCCCTCTGGTGAGATCTGTACACACTCGGGGGGGTGCCGAGGATGGATCCAAAGAGTCCTGAAATGACGACAGAATGTTTATTCAGCTGAACCCCTCCGAAAAGTCCATGGAAGAAGGAGGGGAGGGAGGGGCAGAGCTTCAGGTTTACAAAACTTCCAGGCATATTGAGATAAGATGGCCTGTCAAGGCCAGTCAGGGAGCTGAATTCAGATAAACACGATTGTTTTGGGGACAGGCAGAACTTTAATGACATCTACTTTCAGTCTGTGCCAGTCCACTCAGTTCCGAAACACTCAAATTAAATGGCAACTACAATGGACCGTGCCTGAGAATAATCCCCAAGATTTGATCCATTCTGCCAAAAGCATTTGAGTCTGGATGCTCGAGGCATGAACCAAGCCATCATAAGACAAGCAACCTGATCGGGTCCAAATTTGCTGCTCACGACTTCCTTGATTGTAGATAAACCAAGAACCAGACGAATCCAAAAAGCAGGAACCAGTTATCATAAATCCAATTATATATGTGCCCTTAAAATCCACAAATGACAGCAGTGATAGACACGTCATCAAGTCTTCCGTGTCGATGAGATATCCAGCTGCGTGCATGCCTACAGGGCAAATCGGCTTGCCTAAAGCCTGTTTTCTCTTTGAAGAAATGTTATCAATTGTGTTGAGGGACCAACTGGCCAAATACAAGTCCATAATTATGATTCGGAAGAATTGTAGAAGAGAGGCTCAAAGCAGTTTCACAGACAGGACAGAGCAAAAGCAAAGCAGAGTGGAACAGGAGGAAAAGACGTCCGTCCTTGACAAAAGCAAGTGTTGAAGTGAATTGACTGTGAAAAATGTATTTACTGAAGTTGGAGGTAGTGCTGTGTGTTTAGTAGTTTGTGGAGAACAGATTGCGGTTTAAGGATGACAATTTGAGTGAGCATTATGAGACGAAACATGCAGAGAAATAGGTGTGTTTGTTCCTTCTGAAGTCCATGATCATCTCCTTTGACTTCTTCACACTGATGTGAAGATTATTCTCTTTGCACCAGCTTTCCAGGTATTCCACCTCCTGCCTGTAGCTGGACTCATCATTGTTTGTGATACATCCCACCACCGCTGTAGCATCTGAAAACTTTACAATGTGACACCCTGGATGGGTAGCTGCACAATCATACGTGAGCAGAGTAAACAGGAGAGGGCTCAACACACATCCCTGAGGATAGCCAGTGCTGAGGGTTATGGTAGAGGAGGAGAAGTTGTAGATCCTCACTTACTGTGGTCTGTTTGTTAAGAAGTCTAGTACCCAGTTGCAAATGGAGGGGCTTAGTCCTAGTGTGAATAGTTTGTCCATCAGGGTTTGGGGGATCATGGTGTTGAAGGCAGATGTGAAGTCCACAAAGAGCATACGGACGTAAGAGTCTTTCTGCTCCAGGTGGTTGAGCGTAGTGTGGACCACAGAGGAGATGGCATCCTCTTTTGATCGGTTCTCACGGTATGCATACTGATGAGGGTCCTCGTTGATGTTAATGGTTGTTTTGATGTGGGTCATGACCAGTTTTTCAAAGCATTTAGCGACTATTGAGGCAAGGGCCACTGGCCGATAGTCATTCAGACCAGTCACTGTAAAGCTTTTTGGGACTGGGATGATGGTGGCAATCTTCAGGCAGATGAGAACTGTCTCCAGGGTAAGTGAGGTGTTAAAAATGTCTGCCAA